CCCCAAAACCCCAAAACCCCAAAACCCCATCAATACAAATTATTTGCTAAATTTTCAGTAAAATCTCTATATTAAGATATTTAAATAAGTTGCTAGCTTACTCTATAATTTATTTATTACTCAACTCAAATATCATATTATTTAATGCTACTAATGATGCTTACTCTTTAGCTTTTCTGGTGAATTATAAAGACTCACATCTAAACTCAGATCCGTATTTATATTATGCTGGTCCTACCATTGTCGTAGCTGGCTTGAATCTCTTTCATAAAACTTTTTCTTAATGATTAAACTTTAAATAGCTGACTTTTGTAACACTTTCTTCCTGATACTTCTAGCTTCAATTTAAGCGATTGATTCACTTTCAATTATTCTTTCGGGCATAGTTAGGTTTATTGTTGTAGCATGATTCTCTAATTTCTTTAATGAAATGGAACGACTTTCATTCGCTACTTTAATCTTTCTAAGTATGGGCCTATGCCTTAGCTACCTAGATAAAATTGCATTTTAGTCTATATTAGTGGATTCTTTATTTTATGCAGTCATTTTTTTATGCTCTTTTAAAGCTAGGCAATCTCTATATCTATTTGGAGAACCTTAATGTAAAGCTTTCTTCAATTCCTTGTTCATAAAAACCTCAGAATCTGAAACTTCTTCCAAAATCTACGGAACGGATGATTTTTTAGATGGAAAATGCTTCTCTATCTTTTTTTGCTATATATGAAGTGTTTTCGTTAAGATTGTAGGTAAGTTTGGCTTTATTATCCTTTTCTTAATAAAATTTTAATGATTCATAAGAAAGCTATTATGAAACTCAGTTATCCCTCCTAGTTTTGCTCTATGGCCTAGACTTCTATTCAGAATTTCGTTGATATTCTTAATTTTCTCTTAGTTTTGATCATCATAAACAAGAGTAATCTTTTTATGAAAATCTTTAAATGATGAGTTTGATTCCATAGGTTCAAGTCCAATCGATTAAAATCCAAGTTTTGTTTGCCCTTATTTTTCCCTATGGCTATCTCCCATTATTTAGAGGTCTATATTTTTATCTTTAATTGTCTTAATGCTATCCTAGTAATTTTTTATAACTGATGAAATACTCTTGGCATTCCTAATATCTTGGGTTAAGTTTTACATTTGTTGCTGTATATCAGGTAGTTCCAGTTATGTTTGATTTACTTAGGCTACAGTAGCAATAGCAGCAATATTAGGATAGTTTTAAGAATAATTCCTAGAGTGCCTTCCATTTGGTAGTTTCCTAGGAATAGAATGATCAGGAGTTGTTACACTAGTGTAGTGGTTTGATTATTTATTTGAGTTCAAAAAATTAATAGGCCTACTCTGATTTTAAACATACTTCTCGCAGTTTGATGTGATTATTGTTAGCTGCTATGCAATATTATTTTTTATTTATTAAGAATATGGAAGCTTAGAACTAGTAACACTAAACGGACTGCCATTGTGAATCGAGATGTTTAATTTACTTGGTTCCCGACGATGAAGAGGAATGATGTTTTTGAAGACCTATTCCTCATCTAAATCCCTCTTAATCATTTTATTTTTTTAATAATCAGGATTATTATATTTATAATACTATAATCCTATATTCTAATTTAAATTAACAATTTTAATTTAAGGGGTTTTGGGGTTTTGGGGTTTTGGGGAGATCGGAAGAGCACACGTCTG